TAAACGCTTAACAGCCTTTGAGATGTTGGTATACAGAAGTCTACCAAAAATAAGCTGGGTCGACAGAGTTAGAAATGAGGAGGTCCTTAGACAGCTGAACCAAACAACACAACTGGTCAATATAATAAAGAAACACAAGCTGGAATACTTCGGTCACATTATGAGACACCCTGAAAAATATGATCTTTTACATCTGATCATTCAGGGAAAGATCCAAGGTAATCGTGGTCTTGGTAGAAGAATAACATAATGGCTGAAAAATCTGAGGCAATGGTATGGAAAATCAACTACATCGTTATTTAGAGCTACTATCAATAAAGTCACGATAGCGAATATGGTAGCCAACATGATATCCAACGATCGATAACGGTCATGGAACTAGAAGAAGAAATAAAGCTTTGTATATTATACAGGAATGCATTTTATAATATGTAATTATTTTTCAACCTTAAAAACTATCCTTAAAGAGAAAATTTACACAGAAAGTTATCTAATAAAACATTGTACAGGTAATTGAAATGAATGTAAGATTCCTAGTTTTATTTTGCAACTATTTAATCCCAACCTTTATAAACCACTTCCGTTTGTGTAAATGGCTGTAGATCTAGAGTGCGGATAGGTAACAAGCTCTCAGAGTCGTTTGAAATAAACAGTGGACTGAAACAAGGAGACGCGCTGTCACCTCTTCTTTTTAATATAATCCTGGAAAAAGTAGTAAGAACCGCACAAATTAGAACAGAACTACTGACAGTAAATGGACCAAAATTACTACTAGCATACGCGGATGACATTGACATTGTAGGAAATACACACGTCAACACGTCACCAATGTAAAAGAAACCTTCAATAAATTAGAGAGAGAGAGGCAAAAAATACCGGTCTAAGGGTCAATGAAGAGAAAACCAAATATATGTGCATTAACAGACAAAAGAGACGAGATAGAATAGGACAAAATGTAACAATAGACCCCTATAACTTTGAAATAGTGGAGAGTTTTTAGAACTAGAAGAGTACAATGAGGGCATCAAGATTAATGGCGTACCAATAAGTAATTTTCGATATGCAGATGATACTATTATACTGGCCGATAACATCGAAGATTTACAGATGATGCTACATAGAGTTAATACAACTGGCAGCCGATTTGGACTGAAGATCAATAGAAACAAAACTAAATTTATGGTGATCAGTAAAAAAAAAATTTCAACATATCGACCTGCATATTGAAGACGAACGTATTGAAAGAGTACACCGATTTAAATATCTGGGATATACAGTAAATGACAAGTGGGACACAGAAATAGAGATTAAGATCCGAATTGAAATAACAAGATCCAAATTCATCAAATGAGAAAGCTCTTAAGCAACCGCAACCTAAGCATTAACCTCCGATGGCGCACCACGAAATGCTACGTACTCTCTACGCTACTTTACGGCGTAGAAGGGTGGACGTTAACAGCAGCAACTATAAAGAAGTTAGCGGCTCTAGAAATGTGGCTGTATCGACGCATACTGAGAATACCTTGGACAGACAGAGTGGACCAACACAGAGGTATTAAGACGAATGGGTAAAGAGGTGGAATTGTTAACAACTCTTAAAAGGAGGAAAAGCGTCATACCTGGGCCATGTGTTCCGTAATGATAAGTACAGTCTGCTACAGCTTATCGTGGAAGGCAAGATTAAAGGTAGAAGAGGCTTGGGCAGAAAGAAGAAATCCTGGCTGAGAAACTTGAGAGAATGGTTTCAAATACCAGAAGCTGCGAACATAATTCATGCGGCACAAAACAGAGAAACCTATAGTATGATGGTCGCCAACCTTCGGTAGAAGACGGCACATAAAGAAGGAGAGTTTTAAATATCTCGGAGCGACTATCACCACAGATAACGATATTACGGAAGAGATAAAGGGAGAATTCAGGCTGCAAACGGATGTATGTATAGCCTCCACAACACTATTAAATCCAAGAGCCTAACACGAACATCAAAAATCAGGATATATAAAACAGTAATTAGACCGGTGCTCATGTATGGGTGTGAGACGTGGACGCTGACAAAAGCAATGGAAAGTAAACTCAGATGTTTTTGAGAGAAAAATCCTCAAAAGATCTTCGGTCCCTATCACGATCCGAATACTAACCAATACCGAATGAGAACAAATGCCGAGGTCAAACAAATGTATAGTGCTAGCGACGTAGTCCAAGAGATTAAATCCCAACGTCTAAGATGGGCTGGCCATGTTCATAGGCTCCCTAATAACCGCCTTACCAAGTTAATCTGGGAAGAAGTCCCGACAGGGAGAAGGCCCTTAGGACGTCCACGAATGCGATGGAGAGATAATATATGGTCAGATTTGAGAACAATGGGGCTACCCACTGACTTAAACATCATGGACGACCGTTCGAGATGGAAGCAGGTTGTACAGTCAGCCAAGACCCACCCCGGGTTGTAGTGCTACCAGAAGAAGAAGAATAAACCACTTCCGACATTTATAAAAAAATTTTTGATGCTTTAAACTTATAATTATTTTATATGAAGATTAATATAATCTCATAATTATAATCATGAGATTTTGAATGAAAAATCATTCAAAATCTCATAATTAATATAATCCCTTTCTTCATAATATAATAATATGTCTCAAAATATTTCATTGTTTCAATGCATAATAATTGCCCCTTCTTATAAAATATTGTAGTACTACTAGAAAAAATTTAAATCTTCGGTCTAATGTAGAAACTATTAAACTAATTTAAAGTTAAAGTGATGAATAACACAGACCAACGATGAAAAAACATTTTGATAAAATTACCTCTATCTTATCTATTTTAGTGTGAATATCAAAATTGCTTGCTGTATCACCCACCATTCTTTCACAATTTTACATCTAAAATTGCATAATTGCATTTTATTTTGTTTAACGAGCAAAGAAATTTAATGTTACTTAGTTGGTAGCACTGTTAATGAATTGTACAGCACTCTTTGTTCGTCTTCTCTTACAAAATAAGAAAAAAAATTAATTCAGAAATTACTAGAATATCCTTAAATATAAAAATTTACTATTGTTCTGAAGCTATTTTCTTGCGGCATTTTAAATTAATTACTATTTAACTGGGAATAAGCCACAACTAAAGATAAAAATACGTTTATTGACATTTCAATTTCCACTTCGGAAAACGTTCTCAAAATACAAACAGTAAATTAAACAAATTTTGTTTTTTTGTTACATAGTGAAAAATTCTTCTAATAATTTAATTTTATCTGACTCATTTATATTGACAATTCAGACATACATCATGCATTTTTAAAGTAGACGACTTTAAAATGATATTGCCAATATTGTTGAGTTGCGCTCCTGGGACGACTTTACTTATAAGATAGTTCATTGGATTACATGAAATCAACTTTAACTTGAGAATATCCGTCAGAAAAAAATCATAGCATATAATTCGTCTTTAAAAAGACAAACACATGACATGATGACAGTAAAATTTTGCTGTTAGTGATTCCATAGTAAATTATGAGGGAAAAACCAGGAAAAAAACCTCATAATACTATCCCGACATGGTAAGTATTTTTTATGGTAAAAAAAGAAAAATCAAAGAAGCGGTTTTAATTATGCTAAATGAGGCCAATTGTGTCGCAAATTCCTCGGCAGAATGTAGTAGGATCTGGTTACCAATATTGAAAGAGGAAGTTATTAATAAGAAAATACCAGTATTAGTAAGTCAGTAACATATAGAGGATACATCATTTGTGGTTATCAGAATTTTGGTGTTTATTGAAGGTAAAACTAAATGCACGAACAAATACTTACCATGTCGGGATAGTATTATGAGGTTTTTTTCCTGGTTTTTTCCCTCATAATTTACTATGGAATCACTAACAGGAGAATTTTACTGTCATCATGTCATGTGTTTGTCTTTTTAAAGACGAATTATATGCTATGATTTTTTTCTGACGGATATTCTCAAGTTAAAGTTGATTTCATATAATCGAATGAACTATCTTATAAGTAAAGTCGTCCCAGGAGCGCAACTCAACAATATTGGCAATATCATTTTAAAGTCGTTTAAATGATAGCTTTTAAACTTTAAAATGCATAATGTATTCTGAATTGTCAATATAAATGAGTCAGATAAAATTAAATTATTAGAAGAATTTTTCACTATGTAACAAAAAAACAAAATTTGTTTAATTTACTGTTTGTATTTTGAGAACGGTTTTGGAAGTGGAAATTGAAACGTCAATAAACGTATTTTTATCTTTAATTGTGGCTTATTCCCAGTTAAATAGTAATTAAAATAAAATTTACGTATCATTTAAGTATCACCCAGTTGTCAATTATTAGTAAACAGAAATTTATCCCTGATTGTGCATTGCCTAGAGCAAGACGTGCATAACCTTACATGAACTGAGTAAATGATTATACAATCGAAACCCAAAAAAACGAAGAAGAAGATGAAGAAGGATTTATTTCTATAGTTTTGTATTTTATATTTAGTGTTTTAGGGTCCTCGGTTTTTTTCTTCCACTATATTTATATCTCTATATCACTTCCATCATTTTCCATCGACAATTCATTGTTGTATGATTTTTTTAATACTTTTAAAGAATATACGGAATAGAAAAAATGATCATACTTTGGCTGGTTTGTCTTTGTACAAATTAACAATAAAATATTGTATTTATATTAGATTATTGTATACACAATACACCGATTATTACTTATTAACTAAGTACGCACACTTAAAACCCGTTTATCTTCAGCCGTCTACAATTACCACATTTTTTTAAAAATAATCCCCGACCAGATTGACCGGAATGTAACTAAAGTGAATCGCAATGTATCTCGTACAGCATTGAACTTTATTTTTCTTTTCTTTCGACTTAACTTCATTTTTTAAATCAACTTTTTTATTAAGGTAATCAAGCAAGACAAAGAGACCTACGAGATATATAAAGGGTATTTTCGCAACGAAAAGGCATCAGTTCTGAAGTTGTCCTCTTTGACAAGTCTTAACTAACGTTGCTACCGTCAACATGTTCAAATTGGTAAGTAGTTATATTCAAATTAGAATTGTTCATCCATTTTTCAATGTGGCATTATAATTTATTTGTATTATTCTGAATCTACTTTCGTGAACAATTTTACGTTTGTATTTAACTTATCCATCTTTAACCGTTTGTCCTTTTTATCAGTGTTCATCCATTTTTTGTCTATTATTTTCTTGACATCGTCGTACCATCTGGCCATGGATCACCGTCGTCTTCTTTTTTCTTCCCACGACTTCCTCTCTGATGTTTTCTTAGATCACCAATATTGTCTATATTCGTTACATGTCTAGCTCATCGCCATTTATTTTTCGTTACATATTTTTGTACTGTCTACTGTCATTTTAATAATTCCACTAATCATCTTGTGTATTGTTTATCTTTCATTATTATTTTATTTTAACATCGCATCGTCTCGGATTGATTTATATTTCAATTCTGTTAACTTGAACTGTTAATAGCTCCAAACTATCTGATACTAATACTACATTATCTGTATAATTTGGATAGTAAATCTTACTCTGCTTATTCTTCTTCTTGCTTCTTGTATGCAGGCTGTAAAGCCTGTTTCTTCGTCAATATTAGAGCTCTAAATTCTTTAAATTATCTCAACATCTTTTTCTTGGTCTGCCAATACTTCTTCGACCATTTGGTGACTTATCTCGTGCTATTCGTACTATTCTATCTTCTGTAATTCTATTAATGTGTTCGTTCTACTCCTGTCTCTGTTATGTCACCCATCCATTTATATCTTCTATATTGCATGTTCTTCTTATGTTTTTGCTTTTCCCTATCCAACAGACTTTTCCCTGATATTTGTCAAAGTATTTTCATCTCTGTTGTTTCTAGTAGTCGTCTAATTGCTGCTTTATAGATTCTTATTTTTGTGTCTTGTCTTGAGTGTTTGTTCTTCCAGATTGAGTCATTAAGATATCCCGCTGCTTTATTCGCTTTTAAGCTCAGTTATCATACTTCTTCAATATCTTCGTAACTAGTCATATCTATTCCCAAATATCTAAACTTTTCTTCCAGCTTTATTATTACTTCATTAATTTCAATTTTACATCGTAGTGGGTATTTAGATGTTGTCATAAATTTGGTTTTTTCTGCTGAATTATCATATTGTATTTCTTAGCTGTTGTATTGAAGATGTGTGTATCAAAATCAGTATTATTCAGGTCTTGTAAAAGTTGAATGTGCTTTATTTCACGTTCTATGTTTTTATTTCTCAGGTGTTTACTAGCGATCCACTATAAGGGAATTCTTTAACCTTCTCAAAGTTGTAATTGTTTATTTGGATTCTCTGTTGAGCAATTTAAGGGTTTTTAACAACCAAAACATATTTGATTTTTCCTATTTACAACAATTCCTAGCCATGTTCGTAAACTTTGTAAAACACTGCACTATGTCTCTCATACTTCTGCCCACTATAACGATATCATCAGGGAATGGGAGAATTTGTATCTATTAAAACAGTTTATCTTCCTGACTGATCTTTCCAAGGCAGTATAAAAGAGAAGACACGCTAGCGCATCTCCATGTCTTCTACTACTTCTTCTTCAAGTTCCACTCCTATCGGAGATTGAAAATCATTCTGGCAATTATAATTTGTTGGTTACGCGCCTGAATAGTTTAATTGAACTGCATCCAAACCATTCACGGAGATTGCGCAGCCACGAGATTTTACGTCTTCCTACGCTTCTTCTACCTTTGATTTTACCCTGCATTATATTCCTCCATGTCTTAGACCATTGTTAAAGTTAAAGAACGTAAAATTTTGTCGTTAAATTCTTACACACGAGGTTTTGTATTGCCAGTTTCGTCAATTTAACTAACTTACATGGGATCTCAAAGTCTGCCATTGCATTATGTAGTGCAGTTCGTTTAACACTCTCAGAGGCAGCTTTGAAGTCGCCGAAAAGATAGTGTGTATCTTTATTATATTTTGGTGATTTTTCCAAAATTTGCTTATGTGCGTATATTTGGTGTGTCGTTGACTTTCCGTAGTGAATCCCCGCATGGGTTATGTCCAATAATATCCTTTGTAAGAAGATCTCCTTTTGCCTTTGTAAAAGTCTTTCAAAAAGTACTTTGTCGAATATTTTAGATGCAGATATTAACAGAGTAATGGTTCTAGAGTTCTTACAATCACCGTTTTTTATGCAGCAAGCATGTTATTCCTTGTAGCCACCCTGTAGATTACTTCCAAAAGATACCATTTTCCTTATACATTTTAAAGCAGATTTCATCGATTCCTGGGCTTTATTATTTTAAAATAATCTTTACATATATAAATACAAGCGAGGTTCCTACAGCCCTCTGCCGCCTCTCGCATTTCGACCGCCATCGGTTTTCTGTTCATCCCCTTCGTCTTCTTTGATGGCTCTATCTCTTATTATGTGCTGTACATTTTCTTCTCAGGGAACTAAAGGCCTTCCTCTTCTTCTTCTTTGTTGTGGTATGTAATTTAAAGCTGTCTACACTGAAATATACAGTATTGTTCCTCCTTCTAATATCTTCATTCCTAATATGATATCCTGGTATCCACCTTTTTTGGATACACCACACGCTGTCCTTAGAAAATCCATTTCTACTACTGCTATTCTTTTTCTATCTTTTTGCGTGATCTGCCAAACTTCTGCCATATAAGTCATAATAAGCTCTACCAAGGTTCGATAGATTGTCAATTTCGTTTCTAAAATCTAATTTCGTTTCTAAAAAAATAATCTTTATATGTCTTTATTATTACGAGATTCATTTTTTTCATTATTTTGTGATTTTTTCTTAAAATATAAATAGTTTTTCAATCTTTAGTAGACCTATGTCGTCTAGTATTGAATTTATTTTCTCACGTTTGCCTTTTTAAGCTTTAATAATTCGTCTGTCCTCAAGAGTTCTTGTTTTGTCCTTTTTTATTTCAATTGCTTCTCACGTTGCCTCTTCAAATGCAATGTTTGATACGCTGCCTCTGCTGTTTATACTTTTGTCTAATGTTTATACTAAACATTGTTTGTACTAGAAGCATCGAGCAAAAAGATAAAAGAGGGAATGTAAAGGTAGTGGGGGCAAAAATATTGTTAGACAGAAGTGCGATTTTTAGAGGCCACATTAAACAAGGAAAGAGAGTCTCTCTCGTTGTTTGACATCAAATTTAGTTGGGTTATGTTATTGTTTGTCCCAAATGTCACATGAAATCTTATTTATATGAAGTTTTTTTAACAATTGTGTCGCATTTTAGACTATTATCGTTAATAATTAATTAAAACTTTCTCGTCTAAGACACATTCTGAAAAATATTATATAGCTACTGTTAGTAAGTGTCGGAGAATTTTAAATTTGGCGCATTCGCATTTCCGGATATGTCCGCCATCAGAGGCCACTTTTTTGGTCTCCTTTTTATAAGGATTAGATTCCCTCTTTTGTCTTTTTGCTCGATGACTAGAAGTGAGTGAGTCTACTGCGTAAACTTTCTATATTCTATTCCTTTGTAGTTTTTTCCTTGTGATTTTGACAGCAGATCATCTGAATCATGCTCAGCTTCACTTCAAACTTTTATTTCTTTAAGTGTTTGGTAGTTTTAATGTTTCAATGAAGGTATTTGGTTTAATAATAACATTAAGATTCTCAGTTAATGTTGTTTACCTAACTCTACCTATATTGAAATATAATTTTTGACTATACCACTCCGTTATGGAGTAGAATACGGTTTTATCAGTTTATACTTTTACATTATGTAAAATAACAAATAATTTCTGTATTAATGGTATAAAATTGTTATTACAATTCTGAATATAAATCTTCAAATACAACCTAATCACAATATAATAATTTTCTGATATTCACATAAAAAATCTCTTTAGTACTAATATCCAATTAAAAATTGTTTTCTCGCAGCTCCAAGAATTGCTAACCTTGGCTTGCTTTGTTCGAAAACTTTAAAAATATCTGTTGAAGGATTCCAATAAGTTTTTTAATAATATTTGGCGTGAAGCGAAAAATACCACGTGCTCAGATGAGCAACAAAGGAAAAATATGTAGGTGAAAATAAATAAAGATTTCCACGAAAATATATTGTGTTAGTTCAGCAGCTAAAATGTCGCATTGAATCAGAAGTTTTCTACTTTTAATGCCACGGACATACATATATCTGAATTGTACACTATATAATATGGAAAGTACGTGAACTAAGAATAAATTGGAATAAATGTATAATTTGAGGTGACAATTTTTGTCTTATTAAAATTGGCAATTTTAAATATAGCATTCGAAAGGTGATTTACTTATGCAATTTGAGTTCTGTCTTATTTGGCTTGGGGATTCTATATATAAATATAGAAATAAAATATATATAGTAAAGTAAGTAGTAAAAGATTGCATTTCATTTCAATTCGAATTCCACCATTGTTCTACACGTGTTTCGAGTTATTCAACATCTCATCAAGAATACCTGTGGTCTTCCAACTTCTTACTTCGTATATATATATTATTTGTAGTCTCACCAATTGGTCTGTATGAAATAAAACTCTATTTGTTATTTCTCAATATTTCGTCACGATTTTGTGACTTCTTCAGGAGAAAACTGTAAATTTATTATAATTATTATATGTAAACAAAATGAATATTTCAATACTTACAACTTAAGATTAAAAATTTAAATTTTGATAACATATCCAATTTAAATAAATGACATTTTTTTTATTTTAATTTATTTGGGAGTTATGGTAACCGCAATATTTTATAGAGTGAATTCCCATTGTACAATTTTTAGCGAATAAGTTTTAGTAAACAATGACACATTGTGGCAGTATTATCCATATAATAAGGTGCAAAAGTAGAAGATTTAGAAAGAATCAGGAACATGGTAAATTGATCTATAAAATGTAATTGATGGTACGTAGTCAGTTATTGGTCTGATGTTGTTAGATACTGATATTAGATCTATCATATCATATATTGTTAAGTATATTACAGTAGATATTACTTAAATGGTTGGTGTCTGT